TGCTGTTCCCATCCTGTCATCAGTTTCCAAGAGCAGAGCCCAGAACCTCCCTCTGTTTCCTCTACTCAGGGAGCTGCAGACAGCAGTGAAGTCACCTCCTGGCTTCCTTTTCTCTGGAATGGACAGCCACATAACCTCAGCCCCTCCTCAGACGACAATCCTTCATGCCCTGTGACCAGTTTTGTTACCCTCTGGATGCATTCAATATCTTAATATATTTTAAATACCTTAATTTCTTTTTTTATACTTTAATTTAGCTTTCTTACAAGCTATCCATAAGAACTCATTTCTGCCTCTAATTATTTCTTTTTTTTTTAAAAAAAAAGAGGTGTATTGCAAGGCTGAGTGCTGCAGTGCTACACTGTGCAGTGACCAGGCACCTGGTAGGTCTTCAGTGTTAAGCTGCAATAAGAGGCATCATTAGCAACTACAGAAGGGGGAACAAGCAAACAGGGATCCAAGAGGAAACTGAAGAGCAAGAAGTCTTGTAATTCTCCTCACATAAAAAAAACTACACATTTTTCTCTGTTGTGTGCTGAAGTGCCTCCTCCAGACCTAAGCATCTCCTAGAACATGGTACGAGGCCCTTTCTGTGACAGACCCGGCAATTCCTACAGCTTTCTGGCTGTTAGGCTGTTTTTTACTTCCATCACTTCATTCTTTCTCTTGAAGCTATGATATTTTGCAAGAGATAAATACTCTTTGGGCTATGGCTGGCAGTTAAGCTGTGCTCTGGGAGCACAGAGATACAGACTGAAGCCCAACTGTAAAGAATTCTTCAAAGAGAAAACAAGGAAATATTTGATGGAACTGGAATCACAGAATCACAGGAATTAGAAGGAAACTTGAGTCCAACCCCCCTGCAAAAGCAAGTACCCTACAATAGGTCGCACGGGTAGGTATCCAGACAGGTCTTGAATATCTCCATAGATGGAGACTCCACAACCTCTCTGGCACCCTGTTCCAGTGCTTTGTCATTCTTACTGTAAAGAAGTTCTTCTGCACATTAGCATGGAACTTCCTCTGTTCAAATTTTTGGCCATTACTCCTTGTCCTATCACTGCACACCAACAAGAGACTGGCTTCACCCATTTGTCCCCCATCTCCCTTTAGATATTTATAAACATTAATCAGGCCCTCCCACAGTCATCTTGTCCGCAGGCTAAACAGACCCAGGTTACTTAGCCTTTCCTCATACAGGAGATGCTCCAGGCTATTTATCATCTTTGTGGGGCTCTGCTGGACTCTTTCTAGGAAATCCCTGTCTTTTTTGAACTGGGGATCCTGGAACTGGACACAGTAGTCTAAGTGTTGCCTCACCAGGGCAGAGTAGAGAGGAAGGATCACATTCCTCAACTTGTTAGCCATGATCTTTTTAATGAACTCTGGGATACCATTGGCCTTCTTGGCCACAAGGGCCATCTCCAGCAGGTCATCCCACATCCCACCTGTAATGCTACATGCAGTTATTCTTCCCCAAGTGCAAGACTCTACACTTGCTCCTGTTAAATCTCATCAAGTTCTTCCCTGCCCAACAAAGAAAAGAATCAACTTAGAAAATAAGAGCTCAGATTTGACATTTTAGCTGAAGAATGATATATTTAATTTAGTCAGACAAAAATGTAGTTATAGATAAATATGATCCAACACAGTGAGTATTACCATATTTAAGGGCAATCAAATTTGAGGAAGCTAATTCAAAGATTGAGTACTTCAGGTTTTTCTTAGAACAGTGATGTAAAAAAAGAGTATATGTGAAATCTGATTAATATAACATCCAACTGAAAAGCAGCGTTTTGAATGCTTTAGTGAGCATCAGGTTAAATGCCACAAGAGCTCAGAGACTTGAGCCTTAGAATCTTTTGTTGAATGATAGGTTATTTATTATTTATAAGTGCTGGTCTAAATTTCTCTCTCAATTGTATTGGCTCTTGCTGGCAAAAAAAAAAAAAAAAAAAAAAAAATAAAAAATCTGGAACTGTATTTTTGTATATGAGATCAGAATTTGTCCTGACACTTACTATATCACTTGTGTTATATCAGTGATGTTATTTTCTCTATCTATTAGCTGTTAAGAACTGCTTTATTTATTTGTACATACTGTGATTTTACATCAAAATATATATAAACAGGATGGCTGTCATCTCTTGTGCTATCTTAATTTGTGTGAACTATTAAGCCAGATTGTTATACACCCTTAATAGCATTTGAATATCAGTAATAAACCCTACATCTGTATGCTAAAAGTTCAGGCCCTGACCTTTAAGGAAAGATAAACAGATATCCATTTTCATTTAGAAAAGCCAACAAACATTCTGCATTGACTGAAACATATGACTGACCTTCTCTTCTGACTTTATTAAACTGCTAGATCCTATGAAAGTTCAGGTTATTTTAAAATGCCAAAACAGCAATAAATATTAAGAAATCATAATTACAGAAGCACATACTGTAGGGCTATCTTACTGTGTCATTTTATATAATATAGCTCATGCAGTACACAGAAACACAGCTGTAATAAAGCGCTCCTTGTAATAAAAAGGAGTCAACTCTCATATACTACATCATTAACCAGAATACCCAGGTTAAATAAAATGTGAATTTCAAGATGAAGCTTGTATGCCTCAGTACTCATTTTTCAAATTTAATGATGATAATTGGTGAAATAACTGCTGTCTGTTAGCCACAAAGAAAGCACATTAGTAAAGTTTCCATAAAGCTTGTGTTATTACAACATCCTTCATTAGAAACAATCAACATCCTTGTTGTACTTGTATTTGTAACAAACTTGGCGTATACTTAAGTGTTTTACTTTGATTGTTATTCCACATTTATGTTAACAGTGATCAAATCACTGTTATGTGATCAAATGAAAGCCAAAATGGGAGGCCTTGCCTCCCATTTTAACGTGAATTAATAACTCACGTTATTAATTCTTCTCACAGTGTATTACACGGACACATGAAAGACAGCAGTGATATAAAGGTATCCTTCTTTATGCACAGATATTTAATTTTTTTTAATATCACCATGCGTAAAGAACAGAACACTAAATAGTTCCTCTCTGTCTCTCCATCATCTGAGCTAGGTGTAATTTCTACAAATGTATTATTCTCATATGAGGAGCAGTAAGAGCAAATATTCCCTACAAACATCTGAAATATAATTTAGATATGGGTTTTAAAGCTTTTATTAGCTTTAGAGACATCCAATATTTTCTGGTGTGAACTAGATGTTAAGTATCTTTGTAGATCACTTTCCATCAGCAGGCAGCACGTATCTCCTCCTCTGCAAAACCATCTAAAATAGTGGTGCTAGCAAAGCTATTAACAAACGTGGGGGAGTAATTATTGATGAAATATTATCCAGTGCAAGAGGACCAAGATAAACTCATATCACAGTCAAAGTATCCATAATAAACCACAATTACATTCTCTTATCACTTCTGTCACATGTTTCGTGCAAAAATGTTATTTTTCAATATTCCATATACATTTGTTGATGGTTTCAAATTATTTGAAAACTGTATTTACACTCCTGGCTAGGAATTATTTTATATAATGTCCAAATGACATTTCTATCGGCTTCCAATGGATACAAAAAATAACAGGTAAAAGTCTGCAGTGACTGAGAGTTTGCTTGTAAGCACAGTAATTCCTTACACATTGAATAGCAAAATACTCTTCCAAACAGGCTGACTTGAGCTGATGGCCTCAAGTATTTCTTGAAGGAGCATCAACAACAGAAGCAAACTGTCAACTCAACCTTATGTCACCTAAGTTTGTGGAGCTTAAAATTCAGCAACCAGAAAGACACAATCTGGTGGTTCACATGAAGTTCATAGAAAAGAAAGCATTATGATAATGTGACAAGAAGCCTGGCACCTGTGAAACTAAAATCTCTACCATTCAATGCATTGTCTCTGATATCTTTCTACTAAAACAATAATTAAACATTATCAACACCAGGAAAATACAATTTCCTAAGAGGAAAACAAAGTTCATGAAGAATGTTGTCACACAGGTAAACTTTTTGTTGCAAAATGTAAATACTGTTCTTGTTCCTAGAGACAAAATTATACCTACCCTAAACATGCTCATTCTAATATCACAGAGCTTACAGCATGCATAATCCTTTAAAAAGCATTTATCAGGAGTAGGAAATACTTGCATCTAAATACCATTTCACCGTAACTTAAATAATCTTTAAATAATCTTTAAAGCATCTAGATGGTAATTATATAAAAATATCAAACTTTCTCACTAAGGGCATTTAATATATGACAAAAATTCCATGGGTGTACCATTGCATCTACATGTAGTATATACATACAAGACAGATGTCAAGATAAGCATGCACCACTTTCTTCTCTGCTCTTGAACAGTCTCTCAGCCTTATTCAAGTTTCATCAGATAGGAAATATCACATTTCATCTCTACAGTTTAAACAATATCTTTCACATCCCAGTGGATTAACATGCTAACTAGAAATAACCAAGTCCATATTACCAACTCAATTCAATAGACTTTAAAAATCTAACAGTAAAACTGCAATTTGAAAAGTCATGCTAACCATAAAGTTCAGAAATCTACAGAAAATACAGAGTATACAGAAAATATACAGAAATTACAAAATATAGGCCATTTTAGCTTATTTACTTTTATTAGTTAAATAATTCTTTACTCCCTGGGTCTTGGCCAACAGAAGCTGTAAAACCCACAGCACTTTTCTTTTTTTGTTAACAGATAGGAAATAAGGTCACAGCCTTCTCAAAAATGGTCTTCTGTAAATATGTTGCACACACTGAATGCAAGACTGCTGTTGCGGACAACGCAACCATTTGGCTTGAGAATGCCAGTAGCATCTGTGTTTCAGAAATAAATCCACTGCCATTCCTATGCTACTGCAAACTGCCTTGCCTAATATAATGGCACTGGACACAAGGACATACACTACACCCATATATCTTACAGTATGTGAGAAATGCACTGGTGCCTTACCTTTTCTTAGCTGTATACTGAGCCTCTTGCCTATCTTTTTGGTGTTATACCCGCTGTTTGCAGTGGAGGTGAGAACTTTCTGAGGCGATGGTGCCAGGCCCGATGGTGGTTTCCCTGATGAACTCACACTATGAGGTAGCTGCGAGTAGGACTCGGTCTGATCAGACTGGTTACCCGCTCTAGACATTCTTTGTAACGTGTGAAGTCCAGAATTGTGAATATTTTTGCTGTCGTTATACTGGGAATCGGGGCTGAACCGATTGGAGTAGTACATGTTCTTCTCGCTTTGGGACAATTGCTCGTACTGTTCTTTATTTGCTGCAGGGACCACATGGAACCAAATGAATGGCGTGCGCATGGCTTGGCGAAACATATGCTGTGCTCTAGGTTTCAAAATGAACAGAAAATTAGCAAATTAGGACTGGCGGACTGCAAGACATTATAAGCATAATTGCTGATGTTAATTAAGCAACATGAGCTGACAGAATAGCAGAAATTGAGGCATAAAGTATAAAACCTGAATCTGTTCATTAGTTTTCTTTGTCTGCCTGTTGCTAACTTTATTGCCTTAGGGTAACACAATGGTTAAATATGTTTAAAAACTAACATTCCAAATACTAAGAAAAGCAAAAATTTTAACCACAATCTTGAAAGGCAGATTGTTCTGTGGAAGGATTGCAACATACTTTTTTGCTTTGAACCTTGATAATTGCTTCTTCAGATACAGTAATCGCAGTGACGACAGAATTATTGGAATGAAAATTACGCTTTATACAAAGACTAGGTCATCAGCAGACATTGGGCACTAGGTCACAATGAGAAATACACCAAAGTCAAAAAGTCTCCTCAGGCTTACATTTTGATTCAGAATCTCAGTGGAGACAAGGTACTTTTTACCATATGGTTAAGGGGTCATGTTCCAATAACGGATAAAGATATAAAGAAAGCATTTCAAATCACTGTTAAAGTACAGGACAATCAGCCTGAATGATATTCTTCTCACTCTCAACATATGTAGCATGTTTAAAATCAGACATTTTCTGCATATCTCTTTTCTGCTTTCTACTTTAATTATCTGTGTGTGACATACAAACTGATTTCAGTGTTAAAAGTCTTTCTCGTTTACTCCTTCAGGATTCTACCAACTTCAGACTTCCATTACACAAAAATTTACCATGTCTTAAACTTATCCAGAAACTTTCTCTATACAGTCCCTTTAGTTTCAACACATAAAACTATAATTATTTTTAAGATGTTAAAAAATAAAGCCTCTCTGTTCTTTGTATATATTGAACATAATGTATTGCAAGTATAAAAGCAAAAATCATGTGGGAACTTTATGATAAACAGTTTATCAGTGTAAGAAGTCGAAGTCCGTAATGTTCAAAACCACAGCAAAAAGAATCAAATGGGAACTGTGTATATTCTAATGACAACAGCTATCTTGAATTTTTGTACTATGGCTACACTGGTCCAAATCAAGCTTAGATGATTTTTACTTAAATACTGTATTGCCCCAGACTACTGCATGGTGCACTGCTAACAATTATATAACAAAATGGATCATGCAGTAAGCAAACTTACTGTTCAAATCTCCTATTCCGAAGGTCCCCATCGTTAATCCTGACAATACAATCATTCTCACAAAAAAGATTTTCTTGTTCAGCTTTTCCACCTTTCTCCAGTCGCTTTACTAGCAGCCCCAGGGTTCTGGAACATTAAGATTACAAATGATTACAGTTCCAAGAGTTTGCAGTATATAACATCATACTGACAGTATTTAATCATAATCATAACAGAAACTAAATTTTAAAACATCTTCACCTGGGCACAGGATACCAACTTTTCAAATAATTTACAAGCATTACCTGAATTATTATCCATTATCCATGAAACAGAGACCCTAGGTGAAACAAGCATGTCATTTAAGACTATCAATGAGTATGAGGACAGCAGATCTATTCTTGAAAAAGGCATAGATATCTGAAGAGTAGAACTTAGCACCAAGAAGTTCCATGCACATCTTTTGTTAATGGTTAACTGAAGTTGAACGAATTCAACTTAAAAACTCAATTTCTGAATTAGCAAAGATTATGACAGCCATTCATTACTGCTCCTGTGCAAGTGAAATGTGGGGTCATCTCACGCATTTATTGTAAGCCTTAACTTTTCTTACAAGACAGCAAAGAGGAAACTAAAAATAAAAACATAAATGTCATTTTTAATTCAGTGTATTATCTTAGATGAATTGGTTCAGTAATAAACAATTACCATTTGATAGCTTCTGTGCAGTGAGTTGACCACCTCTGCCTTAGTGCTTATGTACAGTGTCATCTTGCTGACATTCAGAGAGAGAAAATACAAATAAATATTCAGCCCAAATTATGAAATGGATCCTGAAGAGGGAATTTCTGAAGTACTGGTAGGACTGTCTGAAAAGTCAGTCCTATTTCAATAAATGAACTCCTGTTTTGAGGAAGAATTAAATCTTCAGGATTATTCTTGCACCAACACTGAATTCTGTTTTGTTTCTTCGTTTCTTTGTTTTAAATATCAGCTTTACAGGGTGTATTAGAGGGTCAAATTCACAGCATACAAGGCAGCCCTTAGCTGCGTGACAGGAATTGCAAGATTACAATATGCCTTTTAGAACAAAAATTACAATAAACATAGCACTGCAGTTCACAAATACCTCAAAGAAAATAAGTGGTCAGTGATGACTAAATGGACTCCTTATGATTCAAAAATTAGATATGTACTTGAGCACTTCATCAAATGGGTCAGAATAGCAAAATTAACTTTAACTTTGTCTTCCACTTTAAATCCTAAATATCTCAAGATAGCACCAACATATGCCTGCAAGACATTTATTTTACAGAACAGTCATGCTTTCTCTTTACAAGCCAGATGAAGGAGTAAAAGAAACAATTTTTTTAGTATTTCCACTTTGGAAACTTCTAGAGACGTTAAGGCATGATGCTGAAAGAATCTGTACATGTAAACAGACTCTGAGAAAAACAACATAAATCATTTTGACAACACAAATCATCAAACTAAGCCTGAATTAGACAATAACATTTAACTGATACTATTCTGTCTTCAACTGATACCGTGTATTTTACAAACATACAGCATACTGCAAGCCTAATCTTCAGCCTCCAGAGGTCCCATAAGTGGCAAACCTTCAACACCCTCATTTGGTTCCCAATGGACCGCTGGGGTGCAGCCACTGATGCTAACTGTGATAGGGATTGACTTTAGCTCAGCTGTAACAATTAGCAATCTGTTTCTTTGCAATAACAGTGGCAAACACAATGACCAGAAACATTCCATCAAGTTGAAGTATCATTCCTATAGAATCCAAGCATTTCAGAAAATATTTGGAAAACAAAACAGGTACTGGTGTGTATCTAGTCCTATCCTTCCCCATTCCACTTTGATACGCTCTGGGTTTGGAAAATTCCACTTTTTGTAGATTCCTTTCAACAACCCCACATCTCCCTTAAAAAATAGTGTTTTTCCAAAGTAAAAACCTAGCTAGTAGTCACCTACATAGGAAAACACTTTATTTTTTGGATATGATCTGGGAAGTACTGTTGAGATGGTTTTAGGTGGTTTACTGTTTGCCATTCCCACAAATAGTTTGTAACAGTTTGCATGAAATAAAAAATCTTAGAGTCCATAACAACCGAACATGAGCTTAATGATCATGTTGTGCTGTAATAATTGTGTTAACATTTGTTATTTGTTGAGAAATTGTCACAGGAAGTGAAACACAGAAGAAAATGTTAAAATAGTTGTCCCTTTTTACTTCCATTCACTGCTATAAGCCTTGAGTACAATCTCAGGCTTTTTTTTTTTTTTTGACAACAAAAATTCTAGAAAACAAAACTTAAAGCATTATGTTTTTAGTTTCAGAAAGAACTAACATAATATTTACGAATGTCAACGATAAAAGTATGTCCATTTCTCTAAGAAAAAGACAAATATATGTATGACTTAACTACATTCATTTTATCAGAATTACAGCTTTGATACATTTAAAATGGATGTTTAGAATAGAAATTTGCTATGTTTTCACATGTAAACTGTTGAATTTCTCTGCATAGACAATGTGGGTAGAGCCCACAGTGTGAAGTTATTGAAAATGTATCTCTAAAAGGGAAAGAGCAGTTAAAAATCAGAAGTGAGAAGATTATACTTGAGAGAAAAGCACCACAATATTTGAAGGAGGAGAGGCAAGGACTGTGTCTGCTCTTCCTTTCCTCTTACTTCATACCCAATGGCAGTTCCATGTGGGTGTGCCCACTATAATGCCCACAGAATTCATAATTTGGAAGTGTACATAATGGTTACATGACAACATACATAGTAACTGCAAAAGACCTTTTGTTTGTATGGCTGTAGATCAGAAATCTCAAGATATTATCATAGTAGATATCAAAACATTTTACATAAACTACAATACTCAAAGTTAACGTTGTGGCAATTATTCACTATGTAAAATGCTATGATTACTTCATTGCAACATCTGTACATACTTATGAATAGAAGGCAATTGGCCTATTAATGGCTTTTGCATAACATTTTTCTAGAAATATAACTTTCTACTAATTTGCATCTTGAAGTAATATTAATAAATTATTAATGCAAGACATCTTTATGCATGGTTTCTCATTTCTTAAATTTAATTCACCTACCTGCATCCTTGAACCTAGTAGAAATCATACTAATCTTTAACCAGTGGTAACGTAACACATAAGTGAGCTACCACTCAAAACTGCAAATAATCTCATTAAACAAAGGCTATGAATTCTCTTAATGCAAGATTGCACATCTCAGACACAACATATGGTGTTCATGAGAAATTTTCTTTCTAACAGATGTTAGAGCTAGCCTAACTGAGGACACTAAGAACAGATTCAAGGCTGGATGAAGGCCTGTCTCAAATCTTAAACCAGGATCTTCAGAATGCCCAAATTCTGATTTATTTATTTTTAAAGAGACATATGGAAAAAAGTTCCGTTTAGACACCGTTCTGTAAATGATCTCTTGAACTTGGCTTAGGTGAGTAAATTGTCCTAGAACTTGTAGAAATGTACATACCTGAAAATTTTAGTAACAAAATTTTGTGCACTATTTCTTCAGCGTATGATTGTCAGATGTTGGAATTTTACTCCCAAAAAGGCATTACTGGAACTCACGTTTGCTATTGCATTGAGCGCAGATAAATGGCGTGGATCTGATACAGTAAACAAAACTAATTGGATTTTTTCCTTGCCACGTGGTACCAGCACTAACACCAATAAGTTGAGAGGCAGCTCTGCTATAGTTTCAGTACTACCTTTCCTATATCAGGAAAGCTACAAATTTTGAAAGGCTGCAAATAAATCTAGTTTAAAATACCAAAACCAATATTGACATATATAAATGTATCTGTGTTTGAACACAACAATGTAGCACACAAATATATGGATGCATTTGTATTTGCTTAATCTTTTCAGTTCAAGTCAGTAAATACATTCTGCAACGTAAGTTGTGGAGTTAAATGTATGAACTTCTGCACTCTGCAAACACATAGCAAAGCTGCAACCCTACAGGAACAACAATTCTAACTGGAAATTTGGTAGCTGTGCTGTTTTATGCTAGCATTAACTGATATGGGGATAGAACGGAAACAGTACTGAAGTACACAGATCTATCTTAGTATTTGTTTTAAATACATAATTGGGAATGTAAACAGCTTAGATAATATTAGCATTTGCACCACTGTATTTCCACAAGGTTCATTACTCTAATTATACAATTAAAATAAACTCAGCTACATGAGTTAACATTTCAGTTCTAAATACAAATTACAACCAGTGATAAAACTGAGAAATAAGTGGCAAGTGTTTTATTGACATCTAAATTGCCTGAGTTTTTCTGAGTAGTTCTTTGAAATTGTGAACTCCCCACATGCCACCCAGCTGTATGGAAATGATGATAATTTGTCATAATAAAAACTGACAGTGTAAATACATAAGAGTATTAAAAATATGATTTTGAACATCCAGAAAACCATTCAACCATCGATGCCCATTGCACATACACGCTGAAGTTATTTACCTATTACCTACAAACTAACTAATATAATCAAATCAGACAGAACAGAAAATAACCAATTTAGATGTCTATGTAAAATCACTAGCATGAAAAGGCAAAAATTCGATTAAGGGACAAAAATAATGATTGGTTTAAAAGCAGATGCGTAGCAGCTTCCCACAAACCAGGCAACGCTGAGAGAGCTCTGAGGTACGGGAACAACAACAGTGCCAATTTCCCGAGAGCAGAGGGTCTGAGTCGCAAATCAGCTTGTTTGTTCAAGATAAATTATAATGGCTGCTCAATGCTAAATTGCACATAAACTTCTTTGCACAACATTTACGTCACCGAGCGACAGCAGGGCACTCGAATAACTTTATCAGCTTTCATGCCTGAACTCCGGAATCAATTTCCAATCTTTGGCAACCACTCCTCAACATCTCAGCTTGAATACTACTTCAAATTAAGTTTATGTAACTTTTAAAAGGATGAGATCAGACAAAGAAAGCCTTGAATTCAGCTAAAAGAGTGAGGGAATTTACATTTACTCCACAGGAATCTTTTCCCAATGGCTACTTTTGAAACTTAAAAGGCTGGAAATGCAGAAGAAGAAGTTAACACGTACTTAATAGACGATCAAATACAATAGGATTGTTAGAAAGACACCTTGAAGGTGGCATGAAGGGATCTCAGTGTACACAATAGCCAATTAGATGTGACTTGAATTTTCTTTGTGTTTTGAGAAGAAGAACCAAAGTTTTACAGAGAAATACAAACTCATTCTAGAAATGGCACTTCTACTAAAAGCACGAAAATAAGAGAACTACAGAAGAATGTGTAACAATTTTCTTGTACAGGGATTGTGTATGCATCAATTTTGTAATAGATTTTGTTTTTTACTGTTCAATAAAATTTGTTAACTTTTTGATTTAAACTGACAAGAAAATTCAGTCTCCTATTTTTCGCATCCTTCTCAGACTTCCTTAATATTCTTAATCCGTGTTTTTAGGTTATACATCCTAAATGTCCTAAGTATTTCTAGCTGCCAGATTTTAGAATTATGGTTTATCTTGGATTCCCTGGCATTGTTTTGATAGCAAGGACAACAGGCAAAGCCTCCCAGAATCAGTGCTTTGCACCAAAACAACGTCTGATACTTATTAATGGCAGCGCTTTTCTAGGATTTTCAGGTGAGTATCCAAATCCTTTTCTATCCTGTTTTAATAACATAGACTTTACAGTAGTCTTGGGACTGTGTCTTGGAGCTTTCCCCACTGTTATTCACAGAGATTTCTGATGTTATTTTATATATGCCTTGTGTCAGCTGAACCTCCTTTCAGACAAAAATATGGCAGAAGTTCAGCAACTGTCCAGAGCTTGAGAAGATTCCAAAGATGCCTGAAAGTAGAAAAGACAATCTAATGATAAGTTATGATATAATTATTATTAAGCTTCCAAAACCTGAGTGCTTTCTCTCTGATCACCTAATTTCTTCTGTAGTTTTGCACAGATTGAGAACTTTCTTTCCCTTTAAGCTTGTTCCTATCATTCTTTTCCTCTCTTTTCTTCTCTTTGCCTAAATACTTATGTGTTCACTTTCTGTTTTCTCCTTCTTTCTGCATTCATTTTCATGCCTCCTATTCTGCTTACCATCTCATGTGTACCATTGGAAAAATGTGCAAGCAGATTTTGTAAACAAAACTTTTATCTCAACAAATTTCAAGCCATAAGGTGATGAATATGTATACCCCTCCTCTCTTTTGACAAGGTGAACAAACTGTTACCTAAAGCATATGATCAAAAGGCCAATAAAGGACAGATGGATTTGTAGAGGTAAAAATAGACAGATAATAAGCAAATGAAAGTACGATCATGTCTGCATAAATCAACAGTGCTTTTCTCAGAGAATAACCAAGAGAGTTTTATTTTTTGTTAAGGAAAAAAACCCTCATTTTGCTAGGGGACATAATCAGTAGCATCTAAACAGATACAGAAGAAGACCTTACAAATTTTGTCGAAGATCGAAAGTCAATACAGAAGACAGATTTTACTCCAAATCCAAGCCTTCCACAAAAGAGCCATATATTTTCTCTAAATAAAGCAAGCACATACTTTTTAAATATTTGGGGTGCTTACTTTCTTTTTGGTGGGAGAAGGCCCCTGCTGACTGCATATGTCAGCATATGAAAGAGGAAAATCAGTATGGTTCCACACTTTTAAAATTTATCATTTTAATAACCACTGCTTATATAAGTAACATTTTCAAAATGCCATGAAAGGAACTGGAAGAAAAGAACTGAAAGTACAGGGTAACTGCAGTTGAACATCAAATAGATGAAAAACATGGTGGGCAAATGGAATAGGTTTTATGCTAAGCCACATAATCTATACGATATTTTTTTCTTGGACAATGCTTGAAGTCTTTATTGACTTTAGTTTTGTATACTTATGTTTTTATTGAGCAGATCCCTTGCTCAAATAATTTTTCTCAGTGTAGCAGTGCTTTGCAGCCCGGGAAGGGACAGCCGTGTGCTGGAGTGAGAAATAAGAGGACAGAAGAGCATTGGTCTTCCTCCAAATCTACAATTACACGGAAAGCATGGGAAAAGTGCTTTGTAAACAGTGAGGTCCTCTCCATCTCTGGCTAATCCCCCACTCTCTGAAGCCATGGACAAGCATCTCTTCCCACTGGCTTTTTCAGCTCAGAGTAAACACAGCTCTCTAGAGCAGCAGATACCCCTGCCCCAAATGACGGAGGAAGAAGGAGACAGCTGCTGGGAGAAAGAAACAGTCAAGGTAGGTCAGAGCACTGCTGATGCTGCAACAAAATAAAATTCGCTTCCATCAGTGACAAATCTTTTTTTTCAACACACATAAAAGCTTTGAATCCACCGCTAATTACTATGACAGTAAAGCTATTTTGCTCTGACTATGCTAGTGTTTTGATTAAAGACCTAAACGCTAAATCTCTACCAAAGTAAGCATTAGAGGTGCATACGGTTTAGTGTTATAATCCCCTCAATGATTTTTTTAAAGTAGACTATTTTCTTTGCACTTTTTAGAAAACCATTCCAGCTTTAGTAATTCCAGCTTCTGAGTCAATCAAAACATGTTAATCTTCTCCAAAACCATAATGTTTCAACTTTTTTTGCTGTGTATTTTTAACTCCAACAGATGGGACAATACCAAATATCAAAAGAATAATGATTGTTTTTTCTTCCTCTCTTATCAAGTGCAGATGCAGGAAGCCTCTGGTTTAGACTGCTGATATTTCGGAACATGTGGCTAAAAACAGTCAGTGGGGAAATGCTGCCTAAATATCCACCTGAACTAAAGGGGCAGATTATAATTTATAAGAGCCAGAAGGGAAACATCCTAATACCTCACTTTTCCATGGGATCACGTTACAACCCTGCAATTCTAACTTATTTTAAGCAGAACATTTACATTAGAGGATACAGTCAGAGAACTTGCATTTCTTCCTTTCTTAATCAGTGAGGCTTCCTTTTAAGAAACATTCAACATTCCACATAAACTAAATGCACGCAATACAAGAATTAACATAACGAAGATAAAACATGGCAAGTTATGATTCAATTAAAATCCTACACGATACGTTACCTTCCACCTCGGGCACTGAAAGGCACTACATGGATTCCCAAAGGCCCACCGTCGTTGGAGACTTCTACGAGCTTTACCATATCACTGTGAGACAACGATGAATGAGGGAATGTGAACATGTACCGTGAATGAACCAAAAAACCCCACACAAACACGCACAGAAAAAAAAGAACATTCCAAAAACTACATCATGGTGATGAAAGCATCATTGAATGCTACATACCTGAATAGTAATCTGATGGCATGAAAGGAAATCAATCATTAAAAATAGTTTGATTAATAAAATAAGTGAAAATCAAAGCAACTGATACTTAGTTTGCTGTATCAAAATAAGCATAATCATCATATGGATATTGTTCTATTTCTCCCTTATTATAAATATAAATAAATATTTTGAAACACGTACACAGCTGGAAAGGTGGAGCACAGCCCATAAACCCTAAAGAGGTCTACATACCGAGATGAGAAAATAATGCACGAAGGCCAAGCCTCTCTGTAATTTGGAAGTGACAGATCTGATCAAAAGACACAATCTCAATTCATGACTTATTCCTCTCTCTAGCATTACACACTTTTTCCATGTCTCCTGGCACTGTGTGTATATATGTATACAATGCATACACACATCTTTGAGAAGCTTGTTTCTCTTAAATATACAAATCAAATTTCATCTAGAAATGGAGCAAAGAGCAAGACCAATGCCATGTGATAGCACTAAAAGATTTTCTATTTCCTTCAATAGGCTCTTGATCATACGTGGCACACCACAAAAACTTAATCTGGAATCTGCAAATAACCAGATCACACACTGTCAGGAAGTCAACAAAAATTCTGTAATCTAGTGTGATTTACATTTCTTCCACTTTTTTTTTTTCTTCAAATTTTAAGGTAAGTTTTATGCTTGTTTTATGCCACATTTTGTGTCTGTTTTTAACCTATTTTTTAAATTATGCAATGGAAATTCTCTGTCTCTGTTATCACTGTTTAGACCTACAAAGCACTGAAAGTGTGGGAGAGCTGAGAGACAACAGCCAAAAAAAGTGTTATTCTTCAGCTCTGGACAAGCATTTTAGGATTGATGATATTACAGCACTTGGCAATGTTTCCTATCCCAGTTTATGTATCAGCTAATTTGTTTTCTTCTCACTGTACAGTAAGGCTACATTTTTATTAAATTTCATGCAGAGAGACTCATAGGAATCAAGCAATGTCTCCTTCCCCTGAAGATATTCTAAAAGACATCTATTACTGCTGTTATACCTATGCCACCTATGATCAACTTTCTTTCTGACTTTCCTATTATAGTAAACATACAAACAAGCAAACAAACAAAACAAAAAAACTAAAAAAAAAAACCCAAATTCATGTCATCCTGTGATCCTCCCGGAACTGTCATAAGTGGGAAAACAGCCTAAATAAAAATCCAGTTTTCATAGCCAGACTACACTATTTAACTTGTTCTACTGCTTAAGCAAGTACCTTCCATTTTTTCTCATATATTTATTTATGGCCTATGCACTCATTTTTCTTCTGTTTTTTTTTTTTTGTTTTTTTTTTCCAAAATTACATTCCAAATTCAAATCTTCAACTCTGTAAAATGGAGAACGAAAAGAAATGACCCCTTCCTGAGAGATACTGTTTCAACTCTGCTTCTCACAGATTTTCTCAGGTTTGCACCAAGTATTTCAAACAAACATACAAGGAAGTATGATATCAAAACAGACAAGAAAGAGGCCATGTATGTTGCAAGGCCAATGAGTTAATTAAAAGCAACACCAAGAAGTATTAAATTTGACAGAAATTCCATAAATTCTATTTAGCAAGCATTTTTTGAAATTACAGGAGATTCTGTAAATGGAATGGAGTAAACTCAGCAGGTATTGTTTAATAGATGCCACCATTTGACTATGCAACTTCTGTGACCCCACACGCCTTCTCAAGCAGACTGTGAACAGTTCACAGGTAATAAGATTTTCCCCCTTGAAATTCCTGTCTGTTAATTTATTTGTACTACCACTGACCCAATTCCTTCCACCAAGTTTTCAGAGTTCCATCAAATAAGCATCTTCTTTGAGGCAGAAAATCAGCACTTAGCATCAGCACTTAGAAACATTAAGTGTCCAATGTTTATCCTTGACACGAGATTTTTTAAGTTTCTTAAAAACTGCCTTAAAAGGGTGTGTGAAATAAATTGTTTAAAAACAAACCTACACATGACCTAAAAAAGGCTGCCCTACTTTCTTAAGAGCAGGTCCTGAGGTTTTTGCAAGTCTATGTTCAGTCTCAAAACTCATCATTAAAACAATGTGTTCTGCCAGTAACTTACTCCAGGGAAAAATTGGTATTGCTCTCCAAGCCAGTGTCTGCGTGTCCAACAGGCTCAACTCTGCTGTTGTCCTCCTCTGTTCGATCTTCATCCTAGGTATTAAATAGGATAAAATCTCATTAATCTACGTTTATCAGTTTTGTTTATTGTTATAATGACGGTGTCCCATTTTCAAATTATGGCTGTTACCAAAGTTGAAGTGGAAATATGTGCTTCCACAACTGAAAAAAAAACCTTTTTATTTGCTGCCTGAAATTTTTGTAAATCATTTTCATCACTGCATGCTTTTTTCTAATAATAGTTAGTTTTATATCTTAACTTTGCTGTATGTATAGAAGCTACAGAAGCTATCACAGGCAGTACCTGTTTGGAAGGCACATGAGCTGGGACAGAAAGACAGCTGCCAGCCAGCAGTGTGGGTGCAAACTCCCACAGAGCTCTTTCTGCACTGGTTACTAGGAATTCAGCTAGGCATGAGGCAGCTCACCAAGGTGCTCACAATAGACAAAATTGTGGCTCCTGTAGTTTGACAAACTACCAATACATATTTAAACATTTTTTTTATCACAGGACTTTATTCACAGCATGCCACGAATGGCTGACATCAGGGAGTTACACAAGGCTCTAATGATAACAATTGATTTTGTTTTTAATTTGACTTTCCAAAAAGTATATGCATTATTTACCAAATATAATTTTAATGTCAAGGTTGGTAATGGTGTACTTTCTAGGGTAATTCAAGGACCACCAGTAATGATGATCTACAACCCTTCTTACACCTAAGTTCCTCGTTAGAAGCTTATGGTTTTAATTACTTCTGTGACCAAACCAAAAATAATTCATGTGAACAATAGGATTCAATAGACTTACGTTCTAGAGTCAGAGCAGAAAAATAATACATGATAGGTTATGAGTTCAGCAAACACAGTCAAAAAATATATTAAATTATTGAAGAGATATTAAAGAAAGGCAGAGACACTTGGTAATGTCCTACTGACATTTCCACTGAGAGTCTGGAAAAGCAGGAGGCTGGATGCATCAGGCTTCCATGAGTTGTAGCTACGCCTGTGTGCATCCCGGAGAGCAGCGCACTGCGTGAAGCTGAGCTACCTGAAGACTGATGATCCTGTGTTGTGAGAGGCTTTAATGTGCACTTCTTTGTCATCCATCTCTGCTAAGTACTAGGCAAATAATACATTTCAAAGGTTAACCAGCATCTTGAACCTACCTAGAACTGCATTATGAACGCAAACAACAACTCAAAATAAAATATATTCCATACAGTAAAAGTTGCGTATAAACCCACTGTAAATGATAACCTGTACATTAAGAAACATGTCAATTATGCTTACATTCTGTTCAGTAGCTTCAGGTGAAGCTCTGTATGTACAACCAAGTACAAGGAACAAAGACTAAAAATAAATAAATATTCATATATCCATTTCAATTATAAGGTTAAATGCAGCTTGCAAAAAATATATAGCAAGGAAATCAGAACACTGCAGTTGTTTCCCCTTAAAAAGAGGTGTTACACTCTGTTTCATAGATACTTGTCATGGGTTTCTCATTTCAAAGTGAGGGACACAGGTGATTACAGAGACCTACTTAAGTATTTATATTGCACTGGAACTACAATCTGTAAGTTTAAAGTCAGAGTTACTGAAAAAATGCAATTCTGAATTGCAGATGTACTAAGAGGTCATCCCAAATGCTATTTTGTTACTGCAGCATTTGGGACAATTTTCCATGCTGGCTTTCAAGCAAACACACAAAAAGAACACATTAAGACTGAAATAGCCTCCTACCTATTAGTAGGTATACCTCCACTAACAACAACAAAAAGTCTGTCTTTATGTTGCATTATTTTGGCAAACACGTCTATGTGCTTACAAGAGAAGCATCATTCATCTAGCTCTCCTTGGATCCTATGCATTCACAACCTTCAGTCTCCTCTATGTGTCTGTAAACAAACTTCCCCTTGCCCTATACAGTTTTCAGGGCCCTTATTTGGACTTCCCCTTGGCAGAGTGACTGTAGAAGTCCTCCTGGATTATGCTCCCTGTGCACAACAGTAGCTAAATCCTTGTGGAAATCTTTCTTCCTAGCTCTCTGTCCTTGCTCTCACTCCCAGAAGCTCCCCATGTCAGCTCACACCCAAGCCTCTCCACTTGCTGCATGTCCCATTTTCCTTCCACCAGTCCCACCTTGTACAGAAGAGGCTCCTTCTGCCACCCTCCTGCCCAACCTCAAGTGCAGCCACAGCCAGCTCACCTGCCCACTGCCCAACCGTAACTTTCAACTTAGGACGTGACACATCCAAAACTGCTAACCAAAAGCTAAGTTAAACATACTCTATCTGGCAAAACCAGATTTAGCTTTGTGTCTTTCTTATTGATAAATATAAACACAGTCAGTTTTGGACCAGACTCGCTGCCATTTATCCAAGCAATTACAAAAAAACAGTCCCATACGCCTGCGTCTGGCTCTTCCTGGACAGCAGGCAGATCTGTATCAACAGCGTGTCTGTGCCCGTAAATAGGTGCTTAGAGGAAGAATCACAACCCTAACTACAGCACTTCCATAATCAACAGATGTACAATATATCTTTTTAAAAATCTTTACTATTACAGTAATCAAGCACTCTTTTTTGCTGAAAATAACACAGATTTTGATTTATGCTGAAGTGAATGGAGAGAAAAATTGGACACCTACAGAGAGATTTGACTTAAAATTTTGATTTACTATGGAAAGTAACTAGCTGTGAAAATCTCTGCATCTAGCAATTATTTCTTTATTTGGAAAGTAGTTTTCTTCTGAAAGGCAAATTCCACCTGTACACACTGTTGGGAGGAAAGCCAAGAAGAGCACACTTAGAAGAGCAAGACAGTTTCTGAGAGGATAATATGATTCATGGATATTACTGAGATCTAACTTCCAGAAATAACTGATTTGATCAAACTCCAAACTCATAAGGTTTCTTTGGTCTCTATAAACCACCAATAGGCGTTACACTAAAAGGCAAAGCTTCTCGTGGATGTAACATAAGCTACAGACTTCCAAATTGAACAGAAGTAGTTAGTAGTCATATCATTTTTACAGCATGGAGGAAAATTTAAAGAACTTCTTCCAGTGTACTTAAACAAACCCAGTGTGTTCAGTACAAACCTCCACCGATTCCCTTTTTCTGTTAACCAGGGTCCCCCACACAGATCTTCTCCCCAGAGTGTCACTGGGCCACCAGCCGCAGCTGTAGCTCCCCATAAAGCACATAAGCCACCTGTCACGTATTTAGATGACTAAATCAGATGTTACACAATACAACGGCCGCCTTGAAAAAATGACATAAAAAAAGAAAACAGGTCTTAACATTTGTTTCAGGTACATTAAGAGAACTGGAGGCTCAAAAAATTGTTCCTGCTTTTAAATGGATCTGTTTCAAACTCCTGTGTCTTAGAACAGCTAACTTTGTGAACAGGTACACAGCATCATTAGTGATCTACAAGCTGTAATAAAATCAACTACTCAAACGCTGAGGAAAAAATATTCACAACTCAACATGGATTATGAGTGTTAACAGTTCTACGTATTAAAAGGTGCATTTTGCTGTTCACCTGCACAGCTTTCAAGAAATCACAGAATGCACAGGAAAAGCTGCCTTTTTAAATATTTTTGAAGATTTCTCAATCACTCCTTATGATTGCAAAATCTTCACAGCCATTTTTGCCATTGAACCTTGCTCAGTATAGATGCACTCAGATCATTTGATTACATTTTCTTGGATAATTTCTCCTTCAGGATCTTCATCTCATTCACATAGGAAACAGCCATAACCACTGGCTGCAGATTGAAGACTGCCTTCTGCATAACTTCCAAAGTTTGAAAACAGCCTTACCTTCCTATTCTTACAGGACAGTTTATCTTTCATTAGCAAAATATCAGCTCCTACACCTGATTAAACCACAGTCGCAACTAAGTCTCTGCTTTATTTTCAAACATGAACTTTTTCACACATCTGTGCTGCTTCACGCGTTTCTGATGAGCTCTACAAAAACATATGCAGAACTATTTCATTTTCCTTCTTCACATTCCTTCCTGAAGCTTTTCTTTCTACAATTACCTACAGAAAACTCAATAGCAGCTATGAAGGCTGAGCAAAGTGTGCTCTTTGCTCACATTCCTCCACGCTTCATTGGTGCATGCTTCATCTCCAGGTGCCTGGCCAGAGCACCGATTGCCATCTATTTCAGCCAGGCACAATTGGAAATGGGTTCTGAGGCACACAGGGGTTATGCATGCTTCTCTCTTTGAATGCTGAAATCTCAAATTTGGTAACAGTACCTCCGTTATATCAGTAATTGATAATAGGGAGAGAAGATGGTTTTTATTTTCCCCCAGTTCAGAGAGAAATAACAATTATTTTGTTACTGTTCAGAAAGTAATTTGATATTTTTAATGATAATGGTTATATGAAATAGAACAATTGGTTTTCAAATGATTTGAATGTTCTTGCTTTTGGGAAAATGTGGGCTCTGGGCAGCCTCTCTGGCCTGTTGTATCAAGGGCTTTAACATGTCCAGTAAAAAGAGAAAGTCTGGCAAATTTAGCTGTAAACTTCAATAAATCTGTTCCCATTGCACACAAAACATTATTTTTTTTCCCCATCCTCTGAAATTGTTAATAGCTCAAGGGATATAGCCTCAACTAGATAGCCTGACATGGGTACACAAGAGTTATATGAAGAAACAGTCTTTTAAAACACAATTAAACCCATTTTGTATTTTTAGTAGTCCACAGAGTAATTGCAGCAAAGTACCTTCGTGTGAGTTGGTTGTTCTCATTATACAACACTTTCAACATTTTTCCTAACTTTTGCAACAGAAAGAAGGGTCTGAAATGGCAAGGTATTGCCAGCGTTATGATAAACAGGCAGAGCTGCCAGCGTGAGCAGCATACAATGAATTCGTCTGACATGCACACCTCTACAAAGAGAAGCCATTCACTGTATCGCCTCTGTGTTGGAGTAATCAAGCTTGTTTCCTTTCCAGCATTTACATTTTAAGTCTTAGTGCAGAGAATTGAAGTACTATGGATA